CATGAGCTGCAAACTACATCAGTAGCATAGGTTGCATGTCCTGCCCCTTTTGTGCTACCCCCTTGTGTTGAAACACCCAAGGTGGCTGCCCAGCCCTGCTCATGACCAGCTGCTGCTTCATCTTGCCCACAGGCCTAGCCATGCAGACCGAAAAGGCAGCATAGTGGTCATGTGTTCACTAAGGACCTTTTTTAATGCCAATATTCACATACAATGATTACTACATTTCTGCACTGCAATACCAGTATTATAAGACAATATTGTACAGATGCTTTTAGGAATGTACTTTACAGCCCAGAAAATTATTACACAAAGGTGTTTGTATAAAAATACAGTCCTAGACACTAAAGTACTCCACAAAACGGTGAGAGAGGAAATTGTATATAGTCCCCGATGAGTTTGTAAACATACTTTCAAACTTGGCACACACAGCAAACGTATTTCTTTAGCCACCTTGACTTTTACCAGCAGCCTCCTGAGCAAAAGCAAACTGTTTATATACTCCGCTGAGGTCCTTGTGGAAACATCTGTATTTTTTATGTCTCCTCCACACCGCAAATGGTACCACACAGCTCTGGCCTCTCTCCTTGGAAGTCACACCGAACACTATGAAGTGAATCCAGCCCTCAGGAAGTGAATAGATGCTCACATGAGGGCAGCTCTGTCTCCTAACACCTATGTGCTGCATTCTACAGCTCATAAACAGTCTACCGGGTACAGTTCATTACAAGCATCAGCCATTTATTTAGCCTTGCTCTGCTGTGCACCCAGCATCGTCATCTCAGCCACAGGCTCACTGAAGCAAGGCAGGCAAGAAGTATTTAATAAGAGAAAAGCCTTGTAAATGTAGCCATGCAGAAAAGGCCTGGAAATGGTGCTATAATACCCACTCGCCGAGAAGGGTTAACAACGCAAAGACGGCACAGCAAATAAAATCATCAGCTCATCAACCAACTATGGCAAATGTATTTCAGCTAAACGCATTCTCTATTAACACCTATTATGCACTGATCACTCCAGGTAAAATGCTTTAGCGTTACTAATCAGGGCATCAATCAACACCTCTGCAAAGGACACCAATTAGCTTTTATCTTCCCAGCTAAGCAGAAAAAAATGACTAAAATAGGGCTGGATGAGTTGTTGGGTGACCTCTCTGGTGCTGAAGTTTTTAATTGTCTTAAGAAGAGATCATTTCTCCACATCTGCCATAGGGAAAGGCACCTAGCGGCACAACTGCACAAGGTAATATAAAAGTTACAAAGGAAAACCCATTAATCATGACATGTAGTAGCTGTACACCCCAGCTATGTACTAAGGGGTGCACTTGCAGCTCCAGAGAGAGGTATAGGTGGAGGTGTTGGTGCTAGGGGGGATATCACTGCATAATCCAAGTTAAAAGAGCAGAAGGATAAAAGAAGGCAGATGAGAACTTACATCTCGGAATCGATTCCAGTGTCCGGCATCCTTGTCATACTGGGATATTGTGGTTAGCCATTGTTTATCATCCAGAAAATTGCCTCTGTCTGACCTGCCCGTCGCTGCTGCAGCTGCTGCCAGAACCCCACTGCAGGCTGCTGCATACACACATAGGAGGGCTACCTTCCCCATCATCTGCTGGAGACACAAATAGGGGAAAAGCATGATCAGAGCGAAGCCTGGCTGCTGTCTCACCTTCACTGATGGACCACTATAGGGATGACACAGTCACAAGTCTAGTCACCTTGCTTGGAGAGCCCTGCGCTGCGTTCTTCAACTCAAGCTCAGCGCTGCCAACTACCAGGAGCTGCTGCTGCTGCTGGCCGTGCTCGTCTGGAGCAGAGCTCAATGTGTTCAGTGCAACGGTGTTATATCAAACGCGGCATCCTCAGCATCCCTTCAGACGTGTATGTTCCATGCCCGTCCCTGGCAGCCACTGGGTGGTGCAGGCTGCTGATTAGTGTATGGCTCACAATGCAGTAAATGTTCACCTTGTACATGGCTTAGACCTGACAAACTATTAACAGACAGGAAGCATTTATTTATTGTGTCACTCGGAGGAAATGATTGGGCATGCAGGAAACCTTATGTGAATGAATGTAGCATGTTGCTCCAGGTTCAGTACTCTGTAGCAACATGCTACATTGAATCACACATGACCAGAGGTCATTGATACTTAGATAATCAGCTTTGGCCAAACCTAAAACAAAAAAACTTTTCTATTTCTTAATTTATTTATTATTATTGTTAATAATGCAATTGTTTCTGACAGTTCCACTAATAAATAGATGGCACCACAGGTGAACACTGAAGCCTGCAGATGGTAGTGTTCATCTGCAGGCTGAAGTCTTTTATTGATATCAATGAATCCTCCAGCCTGCATGTGACCCCTATGTCAGAGCTGACATAGTGATCACTAGGGATTAGTGAACCGAGCAAAGTTCGGTTTGTTGGACTTCATCAAACCCAGCATTTTAAGGGCAGTTTGCTGGGCACTGCCATGTACCAGTGCAACATAAAAAAAAATTAGCTGAAAGTGGGTCTTTTAATGCAGCTTTAAGGACAACATTGAAAATACACACATTTTTTAACCAACTCCCATCCATTGGTCGTTCCTGAACGGCCAGACGGGAGCCTTATAGGAGCAGGAGGGCGTCTTATGACCTATTTCCCCTCCCCCCTGGCTGTTTACATTCAAGCGATCGGGCATCTCTAGAGTGTGCCCCGTCGTCTCTGTCACCCGCGGGTCCCGAGATCACCAGTGCTGGGTGCGGCTTGGATCTGCACGGCGACTCTGTCAGTGGAGATTAAAGGGAGATGGTACAAGATCTCCCTTTGATCTCGTCTCCGGTCCACAAATGCAGGAAGTGATGTATATTACTTCACTTCCACATTCAGTGTCACTCAATGCCAGTCAGAAGCTGCTGAAGCAGATCTCTGCTTCGTCAGCTTCTCTAGGGGTATCTAGGTGACATTATGTTCTTGGAGACCACTGATGTCTCCATAAAGAGGACCTGTTATGTGAATTGGCTATCACATAGGGGGTTTAGAAAAAATTAAAACATAAAAAATAAAGAAGCTTAAAAAAAATAGTCACAAATGAAAAAAATGTAAAATAACACAAATTTTTTTTAAAGTCCCCCTCCCTCACATACAAAACATGCGTCGGGGGTGCCTACGTTTTATTTCAGTACAGTGTTGCATGACGGAATAAACATCAGTCAAAGTACTGCAGCGCTGAACACTGAAAAATGGCCTGGCCAGGAAGGGGGTTTAACACCCTGGTCTTCAAGTGGTTAAATAACATGCTTTAAGCCTGCATGGGAAGCTTTGCACCTGTACAGGGAAAAAGAAAAAGTATTTCCGCTAAATGAAAAATCCTAGACAATTTTGCTCTGTTTGTGACAAAAGTGTGGGGCCCCTGCCCTTACAATCCATTGCAGGCCTTTATCCTCTATGGAATAAGGGCCTGTTAAAGAGACAGCACACATTATTTATGGAAAAAAATATATATAGTATGTCCCTTTATGAAAAAAACCCAGCATTGGTTCCTCCTCTAAATTCATACCAGACCCTTATCCAGGCATGTTGTCTGGCTGACCAAGAAAGGAGAGGGCCCTCACCCCAAACCATACTAAGCTTCACGCCCTCAACAATGAGAGGGTACTTTGCCAGGAGAAGCGGTAAAGCCTTTCTACTCTGGAAAGGCATTTTGTCCCCATGTTGATATGGATCACTACCTCATTCCCACATCTCTGACCAAGTAGATGTAGGGAACTGTGGGGGTACTTATCAGAATCTGAAAGCCCCCTTTAGAATAAGGGCACATATTTGGTCAATTAAATTCCTGTGGATATCTGCTGGCCTGAAGATGACATTTCATGGTTGTAGTGATACTGATTTATGGTCGCTTTAACCAGAGATTTCGGTGGGGTGATGTACTGGCCAAATCTGGCCATTTTGTTTGCTGAACTATGAACAAGCTCGATTCAAGTTGAACTCATGGTTGACCCAAATCCAAAGCTCATCTCTAGAAATCACATGATCAGGAAGAACTCTGCTTGGTCCCTGGTTATCAGTCGAGCCGTGGCTGTGGTTGAGAATTGGTATTCTCACAAAGTGTTTGGTGTTGGCTTTCAAAGGGAAGGATGTTATTTAAAATATCTCAAGCACAGGTCATGGTGCTGTGGAATGTTAATAAGCAAATTGCAGATGGAAGGGTTTATTATGCAAGGGGCAACATTAAAGGGACTTATTTAGAAAGAATATGGTGGCAGCCATTGCTGACCTCTTCTTCTACTAGTGCCTTGTCTGACATGCTGATCTAAAACCTTCAGTACCTTCTGATTTATTGACCTGGAACAAGCGTGCATATCAGTGCTTTTATCTTTGCATGCTGCTGTATGCTTGTTAAGTGACTCAGAAAGTACTGAAGTCAGGGATAAAATGAAAATTTACATTTGCATATAAAGGTCAGCAGTGGCAGTCTAACATAGTGTATTTCTCACAATACAGCTTTCTTTTTTATATGTGCCTGAAGCTGCTAAGTCTATCATGGTATGATTCAGCAGTGAGAAGGAAGAGGCGGTAGGGGGCAGGGCCAATGCTGATTCAGGAGCAGACATTTTAGCATAAATTAAACATTCAATTGTCCACTTCCCGCTCCCTCTCCTCCTTCCTAAATTGTTGCAAGGTTTTTATTTTTTATAAAAATGTAAATAGATTTGTTTGTAGGATACATTCTGCCTCTCACATCTGGGGATTTTTTTGTAGGAGCTGATGATATAGGTATTGGCCATAGGCAGGGTCTGACAGGCAACTTTTGGCCCAGGGGCAAATACAACCGGATGGTGTCCCATGGTGCAGTGACTCAGCTCCCCTCCTGCTATCCCTCTTTCCCTGCCTCCTTTCCGTTCCTGCCTGCCACTTTTTTAAATGTTTCACAGATATATGGTACTGCTTGCAATGTGCAGTAACACACGTGCAGTTTTGAGTGGAGTGGTGCAGGCTTTTTATAGGGCATCTGCAAAGCCTTCTTTAATATTAATTGGGCTCTGGGCAAGATTCTGCTGATGGGCCCCGACAACCCTCCTGCATCCAACCCCCCCCAACTTCCTGACCAAGACTAAGAACCCCCATATTCACCTACATCACCTTTGATGTGCTGAACAGCCATATATAGGGCCCTGCTAGAATGTTTAGAGCCCTAGGCCAGCTACTTGCACACCGTATTCCCCCTGCTCCAGTGTGTCAGGTACGGGGAGGGGTGATGCATACTGCAGGCCCCCGAAGTATGGGTGGTGCGAGGGGCAGGGGCAAGCAGTTGGTATTTGTGCATATCACATGCACCCAAGGAGGGTTGTACACTGCATGCCCCAGAGTGGGGGTGTTGGTGGCTGTGCATACCACACCACACACATGTGGGGGGGGGTCTGCTTCCAGCAGTGGATGAGGATGGGGAAGGAGAGCTGCTGTCACATTAAGAGCACAATGGTGTGCATTTTTAGTGTCATGTGACAGTTTTTCTTAAACAATACAAAGTAATGCTTTTAGGACAGTAGTGGAGTGCCAGGGCCCGTTCGCAACTGGGACCGGTTCGACCCTGGCAGTTGTGCCACTAACTCCAAGCTGCAGATGGACTACAAATCCCAGCAATTTGTAGTCACAGCCGGCTCCGCCCAGCTGTCATTGTTTAATAACAGTTCAGCGTCCCCAGGTCATTTGGGGACACTGATCTGTCTTTACAACTGGGCGGAGCGAGCCTTGAGATTAAGGCTGGCTCTGCCAAGCTGTCATTTGTGAAGCATTCGCCCTGCTTCAGCTGTCACTTCGGTTCAGTCTAGCCGAAGCATATGCCTTCAGCTCGGCTGAGCCGCTCGGCCGCCTTCAGCAGCTGTACGGGCTATAGTGAATATAGCTGTACAAAGTAATGGCTGATCCTTCGGCTAGCTTTGTGAATAGACCCCTAAGCCTCATCACTAAATATAATCGTTTCTAAACAGATTTCAGGGGGAATAATTTTCTGTCATATGAAAGAGTGATCTACATAAAAAAATGGTCCATGCTTTACCTTTAAGTATGGATTATTGGGGTGGATTACGTTCATAGCCTCATATGTCAAACCTACCTTAAATAAAATCTGCCCATATGGCCAAACAGCCAGCAATATAAATCAAAACTTTACATTGGTCCTTGTTTTTTTGTCCCACTTAGTGAAAAAGTCTTGTGGATCGATGTCAATATCACGCGGCAAACATTTTAGGTGTCAGTAATGCTTGAATTTTTTTATTTCTTTAATGAATCAAGTGGTATTATTACACAATATAGCAGACGATAATGCTCGAAAACCCATTTTTCTTGCAGTTTCATGCATTTAGCTGATGCTTCTTCCCTGAGGTTGATATTGATCACAGAACTGATGCTTCCCAGATCAACTCTTTGATCTTGTCAGACCCCTGTGATGGGTTAGATGATGTACAGATACATTATGACAATAGAATAATAAAATTAATAATGTGCTCTTGGGTTTTGACTGCTAGGAAGATGTCATCAGTTAAGACTAGAGGCTCAGGAAGATCCAAAGCATCTCTAACTATTGCTTGTAAAAACAATGTTTGCATTTCATTCTGTTTTCCTTCCATTTGTTATTTTTAGGTTAAAAGATAAAATGGGTCAGATATTTGATTAAAAATGTAAATGGTGTATATAATCTAAATTCAGTAGAAGATTCGATGGTACAAATTCACATCTCTGCTTGTTTTAAAAAGCAAAAATGGATAAAGTTTGCAGGAAAAAAAGAGTCCATGTGCAAGTATTACTGTGTAGTTGATAGCCATATGTACAGCATCACCTAGAGGTGGTACCTAACAAGGAATCTTCTTCATCTGAGGGGATTCCGGGGATGCCTTCTCTAACAGAACACTGGCCAAATGCTTGTGCCCTGTTCCCCCATCCTCCTCCTTTCTCTCCTGCATGAG